CAGAACTACAGAAAGAACAACAGGCAGAACAGACAACAGGCAGAACAACAGAAAGAACAACAGGCAGAACAGACAACAGGCAGAACAACAGACAACAGGCAGAACTACAGACATAAACTTAACAACAGACTACAGACAAAACAACAGACATAACAACAGACAACAGATATAACAACAGACAACAGATATAACAACAGACAACAGGCAGAACAACAGACATAACAACACACTACAGACAGAACGACAGACAGAACAACAGACAACAGGCAGAACAACAGACAACAGGCAGAACAACAGACAACAGGCAAAACAACAGACATAACAACAGACAACAGGCAGAACAACAGACAGTGTACAGAAGGACAGACAACAGACAGAAGAGCAGACAAACAGAGAGAAGAACAGACAAGCAGACAGACAGACAACAGACAGAAGACAACAAATAGACAGCAGATAGAAGAACAGAAAAAAGACAGAAAAACAATCAGACAAAAAGAAAAGGACAAACAGGCAGAACAAGAGAAAAAACAGATGACAGACAGTAGAACATCAACAGACAGATCAAATAGACATAGACAGAGAGAGAAATAGAAAAACAGACAAAGAGAAAAAGCAAACAGAAGAACAGACAATAGACAGACAGACAGAAAAACAGACAGAATAACAAGAGAGACAGAACAACAGACAGACAGATAATCCCTGTGCTGTTTCCACAAAAGCTGTGTTGTGTTATGTTTTGTGTGTTGTACCGTTATAGATGAGCTCAGAGAACTTGATGCCGAGGCTCTGCTTGATCTTGCGCACCTCTCGGTCCATAGTGAAGGTCTCGATGTCCAGATGAGCCTGAAGGAGAACCGTTCCTCCAGGAGTCTCGTAGATTCCTCAAAAACACAGCAGCACATAGACTATCAGCACTAGATAAGCTTCAACAACCTGCTTTACGAACATTTTAGAATATCACTCCAGAAATACTTTATTTCATTAACAATTCAATAAAAGATTTATTAGAGAACAAACACCACAGTGGCCAATCCTAACAGAGCAGCAAACTCCACTTCTCTCAGTGATATCTGTGCAGGAGCAGCAGGATGCTTGTGTTCCTCATTGACTGGAAACGCTGCGTTATTCACGAATGTTTTATGCCTTATTCCAGTTTGCACATTTATCTAATCTGCCTATATGGATGGAAGCACAGCTATTGGCAGCTAATCCAGATATGAAGCACTTCCAGCATTGTCTGAGCAGATTTCCTAGTGAAACGTTGCCTGTCAGCAGGTGTTGATGAGCAACACTGGAAGCTGGTCAGATTCACTCTAGTCTGTAATTTACAGCGCCGGTCTGGCACACAGAAAATCAAGCCTTCAGTCGCCTGTCTGAGAGGTCACAGACCAGATGATGAAGGACAGGAGAGGTCCTGCGTACACTGATCACTCACACGTCCATCAGGCCACAGATTCTCACACACACAGACACACAAACGCATTGCTGTCCATCAGGCCAGATTCACCCTCACACGCGCACACACACATCTACTGAATGCACAGATAAGCAGAGTTTACTCCAGTCATGCAAAGCAGAATTGTCTGTATTGCTAGTTTGAATTTCCTAAGAATATATACTGACGTCAAGCATTTGAATGATAGTGTGTGTTACAAGACTTTCTTTACAAGCTTTATGCAAATAATCCTGGATTTTTTATACATATGATCCTGGATTTTTTTTTAAAGATTGGGTCTTGTCTGATCAATACATTATACTGATTTCTGAAGCATCATGTGACTGTAAAGACTAAAGTAATGATGCTGAAAATTAGGGCTGTGCGATATTGTAAAAATGTGACATTGCAATATTTTCATTCACAGGAGCTACACTCACCGGCCACTTTATTAGGTACACCTGTCTAACTGCTCATTAATGCAAATGTCTAATCAGCCAATCACATGGCAGCAGCTCACTGCATTTCGGCATGTAGACATGGTCAAGAGGATCTGCTGCAGTTCAAAGCGAGCATCAGAATGGGGGAGAAAGGGGATTTAAGAGACTTTGACCGTGGCATGGTTGTTGCTGCCAGACGGGCTGCTCTGAGTATTTCAGAAACTGCTGATCTACTGGGATTTTCATGAACAGATATCTCTAGGGTATGCAGAGAATGATCAGAGAAAGAGAAAATATCCAGTGAGCGGCAGTTCTGTGGGCGCAAATGCCTTGTTGATGGGGCCAGAGGTCAGAGGAGAATGGCCAGACTGGCTCCAGCTGATAGAAAGGCAACAGTAGCTCAAATAAGCACTCGTTACAACCGAGCTCTGCAGA